AATGTATGTGTATTTCTGTTAAATGAACTTGAAAATTGAATTATATAATTGTCCTGTCTTTTGTCACATTATATAGTAAATGTTTAGAAAACTGTGACATTGAGAACCTGTAGCTGGACATGTGGGTGGAGGAAGTGCTTTGTATACATGTAACGTAATTGTACCTACCTGTTGAGTGACACATTTTGCGAATTCAGTACCACCTCAGATTTTGGATTATTAGGTTTGAAGTGAGGAGGTATAGCAATCAGGTGGTGTATAATCAGCCCCCTGAATTTCCCATACACTAGAAACTTGCATCTTATCTATTATCACCATGCTTGTACTGTGTTGTTTCTTGTTTTTGGAGGATTTAAGTTACACTGATTTACAAAAAAAATTATTGTTATGATTGAATCATTATCAGTTGCATTTTGGGGTGACACAAATTTATGAAAATACAAATACAAATAGTGAAAACAGCATGTTTCTGTAGAATGTTGGGAAGTGTCATAAAAAAAGTCAGAAATGGTCTCTACAGTTAGTATCCCTGTGAATATTAGTGAAATATATACCACAGTATGAAAACATTTATAAGCCTAATGCATACCAGTATACTGTTTATTGCATGGTGTTGGTGAAAAGTTGATCCCTTCTTGTTTTAATATTGAATTCTCTTCTTTTTTACCACATACTAGCTAATCAATTACTGTTATTTTCATTTCTCTTTTCATGCACTGTTCTAGTAATTGGGCTTTATCTTTGGGGGAATGGAAACCTTGGTGAAGGCAGACTTGTGATTACAGCCATTAGAACTGTGGAAAATGCATATACATCAGTACATGCTATGTTACATATAGATATTAGCAAAACAGGATGGACAAAGCTTGTTCTATTAGGAGATTCTAATCTGTTTTGCTTCCCTGTACTAGTACATACATGTGAGCATATGACAGTCCCTAATTAGAAATAAAAGAATCATAATATGCCCTGGCTAACGTCAGATTACTTTCACACTCAGCAAACAAGTATTGATCCTGATAATTAATAGGAGGACTATTTCCATCTAATTGTTTTATTGTATTTTGTATAGTTGCTGTGTCTCTCTCTATACATTTTTATATTGAAATATGTAATCATTTTGGTAAGGGTGAGATTTTTGAATGAAAAAACAATAATAACAGACAATTGGTGCTGTAATTAATTTTTTTTTATGATCAGAGACTAAAAATTGCAGAAAAGAATTAACTAACCCTATGCTAAGGGTTCCATCTCCCAAGATGGGTCTTAGTATTTTCTGCTGAGGCTTGTTGCAGAACCCAAGTGCTTAAAATACATGAGAGAACAGCAAAACATTCTTTAAGTGGGGGTGTATGGGGGTTAAGCATTCAGAAAAATGAATAGTGACAGGTGTGTGTGTGTGTGGGGGGGGGGGGGGGGGGGGGGGGTTTGGAAATGTAGGTGAAATCATACACTTGAAGTTGGATATTGGTTGAACGGCATCTTTGCCTGTGGTGCAATGTTGCAATGTTTTCATTTTAATTTTTTTAAAAAAGACTAATGATGGCTGAAAGAGGTGACCAGGGCTCCTTAGGCCCCTTGCTTCACCCTGGTTCAAAAAAGTGCTTAAAGGGGGACTAATGCACTCCCTCCCTGTAACTCCCATGCCTGTATGTGTTGCGGTCATGAAAACATTTGTTCTCTAGTATGAGAACTATGCCAGCTTTAACCCTTGTATGCAATGATTAAAGTTGTGGTGTCTTTTGCTGGATATCTAGAAATCTGACATCCTGCTGAGTGGGTTGCAAACAAGGTGATTTATCATGATGGCTACAGAATTACACCTGAAAGTCGTGCAACATGGAGTGTAGATGGCTTTGATACATTAATTGATTTTTTTGCTTACCACACAGAACATAGCTAGAAGTAAGGTGGTTGCCTTTGATATGTGCAAGGGTCTTTGTGAAATCCAGAAATGTTTATTGTCTGCTTCGAGCAAATTAGCACTATCATGCCAACTTTAAATTTTAATGTAATTGTATTTGCAAGTACAAGTTAAAGTGATTATATCTATTTTAGTCATATCAGCACAGGTGTGTTCATGGTTTTGCACATGAATTTTGTAAATAAAAAAAATCTTGAGAGATATTTAATTGAAACTGATAGTTGGGTATGATATACACTTAAATAGGAAGAAAATGGTAAAAAGCTAAATAAAATTCCATTTATTATTTGATAAAAAAAAATATCAAAGGGTTTGCCCTGGGTACAGTGTTTTTTTTTTTCTTTTTAGTACAAACCCAAGTCTTTTTGGATTTAGGCATTATTATGTTAAAGTAAGAAGTATACGTTTTTTAACCATACTATAATATTGTTAACTTCAGAAATATTGATTCTTCTACTTTCAATGAACTAACAAAGATTGATGTGGTGAACCATTTAAAGATGCATTTGAAGCGAGTTGACATGTCAGGTCATTGACACTCATCCTGATCAAATGCCACAATTTAGTTTCAAATGGCATAACTTCAAGAAATACCAAAGGGTACCATTTCATATATACAGAAAAATGATATTTTAACAGATATATTTTCTGTTTTTTCTGTGCTATACATGTACATTCACGTAAACCTGGGTTATTTTTGCCAACTCTGTGATGAAAATAATTTTGCTATTGCACGCCCAGCACTACATCACTCAGCAGACTTATCAGAATGGGAGAGACATATAGATAGATTAAATTTACATCCACAAATTGATGAAGTTGTAGTTTTAAAGCTTTTTTTTTTTTTTTTTTTTTTTTTGATGACAGAGTGATTATTTTGGTTTATTTTTAAAGAGGCATGTGGACTTTATTCGAGTGATATAAGAAACTGGTAATGGTAGTGGTGATTTACAGGAAATCTTCACTCACTTCAAATGTAACTTTAAAGTTTTTATCCATTTTATTAGAGATCATTAAAATTCTGCACTGGGCTGTGTAATGTATGAATACATGTCAAAGACAAGTGTCAAAGTAGTTTTTAGTCTGGTTATTTGTACCAGTATCACTTGTATAATTAATTAATAATCCTGACTGATGCTGCAATTCATCCTGTTGCAGCTGACATAAGTTTTTAAAGGGTTCACCATGTATAATGATATGATGATAAGAGACAGACCATTGGCAACCACTTTGCATGCTTGATATGACAGTTTCCTTTATATTTTCTTATATGTGCAGTCATTGGTAATGGTTAAACATATACCTTTTACTAATCTGCTGGAGTTTCTTAGCAGGTGTATGTATTTACTGTATCATGTAGTCCTATTCTGAGTTAGAATTTTATAACAAAAAAACAAAAAAGTATTTTAATAATTAAAATAATTTAAAAATTAAATAGCTCAATTAGTAGATGGGTGAAAAAGAAATCATATCAATAAATGAACAAATAAGAAGATGAATAAAGATAACAAAATTTAGATTTTTCAATTTGCATGTTTTTTGTGTGGATTGTTAATTTTTAATTGGCTTTTAGAAAAAAATGTAGGAAAATGAAAATGCCATGCTTTTAAGTCTATTCAGGATTAATTTTTAATGCATCAAAAAAGGCATGGTAATTCCTTTATCATAGTGGTGATTACAAGGCCAAATTCCAATTTAGACACTTAATTGTTAATCAAATTGTATGCAGAAGTTGTTGAAATTATTTAGGTGTCTGAGTTATTATCATATTACTGGAATCACTAATTGTAAATTATTCATTGAAAAGAACTGTATAGCCTTCCCATAGAGATTTCTAAAGGATAATTTTTCCCATTAGCCTTTTTTCTTTAGGACACCCATACATGTAGAAGTTCAATACAATTTCTATAACCATGTCTTATAGGAATCTTGTAGGACATCCAATAGAACTCCTATAGTACTGTAGAATTTCCTATAGAGTTCCACAGGATTCCCTATAGCCAGTCTTATTATTCTTATAGAGTCCCAAATAGTCCTGTAGGAAAACTATAGGAAATTTTCAAATGGGTAATCAAGTTTTAAAGAACTCGCTTTCAGTTGTATAAGGATTGAGTAACTTAAATTATGACTGCATTTCATACTGTAACAATAGTTTAAGTTAATATCAGCCTCAGTTTGATTGTGTTAAAGGTCTCTTCTAATTAGCTGTAAACGAGGAATGAGGAATGTTTTTTTGGTGCAAGTTGAGTCACCATGGAGGTGATCTCCTCACAAACTTGCATGAAAACAATTGCAAGGCTTATGTTAAAAAATATCAGGGTGTGTGGTAGGTTTGCCTTATAGTGTTTCACAGTTGAAATAGAAAGTGAGATACATGTATATGTGAAAAAATAACATTTCTACACATCAGTGTAATAAATACGCCACTGAAATTCAAATATAAGTCTGACTTTTGGAACTCAGCACAGTCAGTTGCATGTGTTGTCACTTCCTCACCACATCATTCCTTGATAAATGTGCCTTAATTGGTTTCCCTATCTTTTACTATAGGAATTAGTATGGTATATTTTATGGGCTACATCATGTGTGTGTGTGTGTGTGTGTGTGTGTGTGTGTGTGTGTGTGAGAGAGAACGTAATATATATATATATATATATATATATATATATATATATATATATATAGAGAGAGAGAGAGAGAGAGAGAGAGAGAGAGAGAGAGAGAGAGAGAGAGAGGTTAGCATCTCCAGGGCTGTCTTCAGCTTCCTATAAGAATTATTTTAATAAGTACATATGTGTGTGAGTGTGTACACCATAAGTCCAGTAACATATAAGTGAGATGTATGTAATGAAATATTTAAATAATCATCCAGACTTGGTCAACATAATAGAAAAAGATAAGCCTCTAATATCTTTACAGAGCTTTAAGTGATATCCAATGGTAGTACAATTTCAACAAGTTAATGATTATATCAATATCCATTAAAGGCACCGCAGTTTCCATTTCTGGGTTCTTTCCTCTGCCAATAGATTTTCAAGGGAAGCCTCAAATTATGTTAGCATTGAAATGTGTCCAAGAGGCGCACTTGGGAAAGGACCAATTGTTATTGGAGGGAAAAATCAATACAGTGACGGCAAGCAGCACGTGGGTGTAGGCACTTGTAGGAATAGCCTGTTTCGCCGAGCCAAGCCTGATATGATGCATTGTTGCTTGGATAGCATTGGTCATATATTATTGAACACCAAACCAGAATTTTGAATAGGAGAGAGATCAGTGATTATTAATTTTCATACCTGGAGTGTTGGTTGATCAGTTTATATCCACTTATCATCAGTTTGCCTGAACAAGTACCATACCATGGGAAAGTGTGCACTAAATATACTGACTTCAGTGAAATAGATGCTTACTGTTAGATTGGAGGTGACAACTTTCAATTGTTGTCAGTAATGGCTTTAACTCTACACCTGAAATATATTGAGAATCTGCGAGGGAAGAGCGAGAGGTTGGTGAAAGTAACTTTCAGAGGTAAGACGTCCATGCTACAGTTAAGTGTTTACTTTGGGTTATTTCTTCATGCCAGGTAGACAAACATTACACAGGTTCTCTGCCTCCTTATTATATTTACTGTGAATATGTGAAGGTTTTCATCATGATTTCTCTTCATTACTGACTTCAAAACCAATCCCCTTGTGATATTGTGCTTTAGCTAATGGGGATGTAATTTGCCTTTGATTAACTTACCCATTGACACTTCTCTGCAACATACATGCCTGATAATTTGAACTCATTTAAGACTTGTCACTATTAAAAAGAATAAGAAAATGAATTAGAGGAAGTAATTTTTTAATTTGACAATTTCCACTGTCACTTGTGAGCTGAATGTAAAATAATGAAATATGATGCTTCAGTAATATATTGGATAATGGAAACAATAAATTTACACAAAGTATTACTGGTGGTACTTTTGGTGTGTATGTGGAATGAGAAGAAAGTAAAAGTCCATATTTTACTCTTTTGATGGAGTGTGTACATGGTATAGTCTTTGTATATTTGTACTTATAAAAAATAAAAAAGTTGATTGAAATAGTAACTTTGAATTTTAGTTCAGAAGATGTGCCAAGTCTGTGGCTGCATGGTTTAAAGTTACTTAATCCATTTAATGTTAGGGCAAGTGATATGACATTCATAAACTGTCATGAATGTTGCAAATCATGGGGAACTTTTTATACACCAACTTGCACAGAGTAGATAAACAATATAAAGAATGTCACTGCATATGCTGGTAAGCTCATATGTCCATTTGAGGACCGATGAAACTTTTGTTGGAGATTACCTCCATTCAAGCTTGCTGAGGCTGCCTGTACATATGTAGGCAGGGTGCTATTGTTTGTGTAATACAAAGCAGTACAGCTATTTCAATATACTGTTTGTTCACATGGTATTTCTTGCTTTAGTTGTGAATTAAAGGCAGGTCAACGTAAAGTGAAATTAGGGCCCAATTTGCACATTGAAAGCAATAAAGACCACATGCTTCCAGAACATCCTTTTTAATTCTCCCATCATTTTTGATAAGAGCATCTTCAAATGTCATTGACATCATGTTTCAGTGTTTGACTATTCATGTAGTTGATGTTATAACATTGAAGATTGAAAAAATAATTACATTTGGAGAGACTAAAAGGCAATTGAATAATGGTTAGAGACTAGACAATGTAAAATGTCATGACATATTGGTTATGCATAAATTTTCTGTTTTATATTTTCAAAACATTATTTGTGTTTTAATCAAAGCTAGGAATCAGGGCAGCTAGCACACTTTAAAAAGTACAACTGTAAAAAGAAAAATTCATCTTATATCATCTGTAAAGCTTCCTTAGGGTGCATTCCCATTGATTATAGATCGATCTATCCCCGTGGGGAGTCTCACTAGATTACTGTCAGATGATCCAGCTTAAATGTCCGTCCCGCCTACTACAAGGTGTAAGGGGGTAATTAACTTCAGTGTGCGGTCGGCTGACTGCAATTTAGTGTGATCCCCCAGGGAGTTAGGTCGATCTAGTAAGATTGATCTAAATCTCTGGGAATGCCTTCTTAGTGCTCATTCCCATGACACTGTCAGACTACGTAGATAAATCCAACTCTGCAGGAACTCCAGCTTAATGCAACAGATTAACATGCCTCTTTTTGTTTCCAATGTACTCATATAATCACCAGCATTTCTGTATTCTACTCATTGCCTAGAGGAAGTTTAATTGTTTTAACAGTTTAAAAACTGATTGCATTCAGTGAGAGTCTGTGAAATTTGATCGATCTACGGAGAGCCATAGTTTCAATGGGAATGAGTCCTTAGATTTGACTTTTAAATATATGATTTTGCCACAGATTTGTTTTTAGCTTGGGCCAGCATGCATATGTGTACGTACTTCTATGTATGGTTTGTCTTGCTTTTCAGCCAAGAGAAGTAATTATCTAAGAATCTGTTGTCCTTGATAAATGTATATATACCTAGCCCTTGTCATAAATTATGCAATTGTTACTATGGCACAATTGTCTGACAGTGGATGTGTAAGTTGATATGTTGTTCTTATTGACCATGCAGACATATTGCATTGCATTATTTGAAAACAACAGAAATTAATAAAGCAATCACAACACTCTTGGCCATTGTTATTTATATGGTATTGTAACTGTTCCTTTTTTTCCTTTTTGGATGAGATAGTATAAAAATTGCAAACCAAATATGTTTTTCATAATTATGGGATATTTTAATAACTTTGGGATTAACAAGGAATTAAATAGTACCATTATCTTTTATCTGAAGTAAATAGAAGTTCCTTTTGATTTAGATGTTATTTGCAATTTTAATTTGCAAATTATATGACCCCCCCCCCCCATCTCCTTTGAGCCTGTATTAATTTAACTTAATCAGCTAGCAGCTGGGCTGTATACTGGTAGGTTATTTTACCATTATTGAGAACAATATAGTACATGAATTATTTACTCTATTGTCAGGCCATAGGTTTAGATTTGATCACTTCACTTTACTGTTAAATGGAATGATTATTGGGTAGATAAGGTAACTAATGCTTCATCATGCCATCAGCCAATTTTGTTTTCATCACCTCTTGTTTGAATTTTGCCTATTTTCCAATTGTGACTCTGTCTTCTAATTAGTTGGAGATATTTATATACAATATTTGTGTTCACAGTATTTAGGCTCATATTAAGGATTTGTGAAATGGGTAGAAGGTATAGGGATCCAAATGCAGAATCTTTATTTTTGTGCTTTTGGAAAAAAACCAATTTAAAAAACATGCAAGTACATGGATATTCAATTTCTACCAATTAATAATGTTTTAAAATCAAATGTCTAACATCGTATATTCTGACAGTCTTCCAAATCTCCTTTTTTGAGTCATCCCCCATTTTAACTGTTTTCTGACAAAAAAAAAAAAAAAAAATAGATGCCCATGTAAACTTGAAAATTCTGACCGTCTTCCAGAAGACGGTTTCCATCCACCCCTGAACTGTACATTGAAACTTGATTGCTAGCTAGTGTACTGTTGATCAGCTTGATTGCCTTTGTTTGGAAGGAAATTAACTTAATACATTGTATGTGAGTTAATCATAACCTTGGGTCTGGGGATGTCGTGACATCACTGAACTGAGCATGGACAGCTTGAGGTCATGTTTTGAGTCTATTTTCATTGGCCTTCTCCATCTTCCAATTTTCCAAAAGTAAAAGCAATTCAAATTCTATAATCATGATTGTACTTTTTTGTGCATTAGGCATTTTTTTAATCTATCTCATGTTTAGTGACTGGCTGGCTAATTATTTATAGTTTTATAAGATATAATTTTTCATGTAATAGCACAGAAATCTAAGCATTATATACAATGTATGTAGCATAGCATGTGCTGTTCAGTGTATGGTGAAAAGTCAACATTACCCTGCGAGAATATAGATAAAGGTATGGGATTTTTTATGGCTTTTTTTATTGGCAAATTTAATTTCCCAGGTCGATTCTTTGACGCAATGAAAACTAGAGTAAACCACTTTAATTATAGATTAAATGCAACAGGGAGTCCACATTCATTGTATGCATCATTATATTTGAAGTAGGAAATTTGTTAGAATATCAAGCAGAAAAAAAGGCTATTCTACATTGTGGGTACTTGAAAAGAGTTATAAAATATATTTTTTCATTTAATCTCATTTTTGTCCTATGCAATCAATCATTCCAGGCAATCATGCAAATATCAGCACTTGTGGTAAATGGTTTAAAATAATACCATTTCATAAATTTCCATTAGTCTGACTGGAACATCATGAAATCTAATATTGTGAACCCTAGTGTAACTAAAAGAGATGTCAGAATACTTCAATGAGAGCTTTTGAATGTGCTTGGTTACAGCATGGACGATTAATACAAATCTGTATTAAGTGAAACTGAACATAATAGCATAATTCCTTGTGGACTTTGACAAGTTCTTTCAAGCATAACCTTTTTTTATAGGATAGCCCCCCCTGTACAAACCTCCTGAAGTTAACAATATTAACAGATTTAGCAGTTTTGGGTGCTTGTTTGGGGTTTTGGTAAAATACGTATATTGTGAGTAATTAAAATGCTCACAAAAGATCATTTATCATGTTTGCAGTATGAAGTACATGTTTCCAATATGTACATGTACATTCCATTGAAATCCTGTAATTTGTTCTTGGAAGTTGAAAAATATGAAAAACTCACATTTGAGGGACTTTTGCAATATTCCATCATAAGATATACTGTATGATGGATGATATGTCTTTATGTATGAAGCGAGGAAACAATCACTATCATAAACTGAGACCAGCAAAGAAGTTGCCATTGAAATATCCAATGTCTGCATGTCCAAGAATATCTTTCCTCTTTTTGAGTAGAACACTTCCAACAGAATGATGAATACATTGAGGGAACTAATGAAGCTGTGTCGCAGGTTGAAATCCATGAATGGAGAAGGATGGATGGTATATGTATGTGATGATGATGAAGGATCGAGCTCATTCTAAACGTGACAAAAAATGATGATATAATAAATTGATGATATAATTAAGTTACATACTAAACGGTTTTCTTTGTCATCACTTACTTGCATGTCCTCCGAGGCAACAAAATCAAGCAAGGGATTGACAGATATCTTAAAATTGCTATTTTGCCAAGTATCTGAAGGCCTGTACAATGTTTTGAACAATTTCATGTAATTATGACACATAAATATAAATGAAATATATAGTTTTATTATTAGAATATAGTTTCTGGGTTGAATTATCATTCAAAATAGGTGACCCCCAAATCACAAAAGACGAGCAACTGACTGTATATCATGAATAAGGGGTTAGGGGTAAATTTTGATGTGTAGGTGACCACCCTGAGACCCAGGTGCCTATTGTTTTATACCAAAAGAAAGGCCAATCATCAAGGATTATTTTGATATATTAGACCTCATTCCCATAGATTTTAGATCGATCTATCCCTGTGGGGAGT